ACACACACATAGAGAGAGAGAGAGAGAGAGAGAGAGAGAGAGAGAGAGACCATCAGAGGTTGACTTGTAAGGTGGCATGAGCATGCATTTTGGATCTTTTCGGGGAGAGGCAGACTCGATAGCTGCAGAAAGTGAAGTCATTCACCAAAAGTCCCTAGTTAACCTATGTTGTTCGATTTTAATATATATATTATATATAGACGGACCAAAAAAAAAAAAAAGTCGCAGACCTCTTTTACACTTTCTCCACTCATCACAAATAACTGTTACCAACATATCAGACCAAGGACCTTTCGTCTCCTCCAGAACACGATTCGTACAACAGTGAAATGATTCCTGAACATAAAGATCAAGAGATCAGCTTTTCAATGAACAGAAATTTCTATCAACAACATAGCTAAAATGTGCAACTAAGAGCCAGTACTATAAAATATACAGAAAAAGGTTAAGAAACAGTAAACAAGTAACTTGTCCACACTTCATATGATTAGTGAAGTTTCCTCTAAGACTCCAACATGGTCATCAGGGGGGAAAACAGAATCATAATTGGAATGAAAAATCCAAGGAGTGGGGAAATTATTGGGATATAAATAAAACCGGTTATGATTGGATTTTATTGGTTAAAGAGAGTTATTTTGTATACAGTTGATTAAGCGGGAGTTTGAGTTTGTAGTTAAATAGTATTTAAAGGTAATGATTGAAGTTGATGTGATGTGAAAGTAGGAGAAATGTTGTTGGAACTGACAGGTAGCTAAAACTATGTGAATGGATAAATAGTGAACTAAAGTGGATATGATGTGTGAGGATGATTGATTGATATTATTTAATTATACTGATAATTAATATTGAGGAGAGTTGAGTTTGATTAAAATTGAGTTTGGTTTTGAGTTAAAAGATGTAAAACAATTTATTTGGTCAGTCAAAACCAATTATAAATCGCCCCCTAAAGGTCTCTCAAAGGATCTGTTCAGTTTACAAAGTCAAGCACTAACATACATCAGACGCGAGCTACTTTAAAGAACTCATCTTTATCATAACAAATACCACGATCCACCTAGCGAGAACTTACTTTGAGTAAACTAAGATGATGGCTGTTAAACTCAGCCTCACTGTAAGGCAACAACTGACGCAAAAGCCAACCGCCATCCCATAATGTTTCTGCAGAAATATTTGATCTGCAAAAGAGACTGACCAGAGCATCGAGCACCTAACAAACAGAATATGAGGTCAAGGGAGGAACAGGCCATGAAAAACCAAACAAATAATGTGGGACCATTGCTTGCATAACTAATGCCAAGTTTGAAAAGCCTATCTTACAAGTTAAAGCCTCTACTGTTTTTGAAAAGCCTCTGCCATTGTTGACAAGTTCAGTTCCGACTCATTTCAAACTAATGTCATGATTAATGATAATCTAACATAAGAATTAATTCACCTTGCTAATTTTGGAAATCAAATAAAGTGGAAAACAAAATCCACTGTGAAGCAAGAGAATGAGTGATCTGCCACGTGTTAACCGATTAAAAAAAAAAAAAAAGAGTTTTCGGATTAGGATCATCAGTTGATGCAATAACCAGGCATTACCACCAAACAAAGACCAAAATAATCTCACTCCTTCCAAGCCATCATTAGTAACCCATAAAAGAGATCTTAATGAACATTCCGATTTAGTATTAGAAAGGTTGAAGTCGAAGATCCTGGGTAAAACTCCATCCTAAACCAAATTGCTGGGCAAGGAAAGTCAAGTCCACATTCTAACCAACATTCCCTCAAATGGACAAACACTTATTCAACAAAATAATTTTTCATCTTGTTCATTGTCCTGAATGCTTAATTTCAGGAAATAAATGAACCATGATTCAAGCAATACACTAAGAAAATTCAGCGTAACTAGATTTACATCCTCAATAATTCGTCCAGTGAATTACAAGTACCAAAAAACCAAGAAAGACTTCCATAATAAAGCTTCTCATATAGGAAATGACACATATAAAAGATAAAATGAAAGATGGTTACAATTTTCCTTATGCAAAGTTTTAAACATAAGCTTTTGAGTATCTGCAGCAGTCAAAGAATTAATCATGTTCTAAAGCCATATTTATAAATGCAACAAACTTTGAAAATAAATACCATGGGTTACAGGGAATTTGCTATGGACATTTGGAAATATGAAAAACAGAGCGAACCCACTCAACAAAGATTTAAAATTAGAAACAAAAAATAACAATGAGAAAATATTAAATTGGCTTCGATGAAAGAACTTCTGTAATCGTTAACTAAATTTTCTTATAAGAAATGTTCATAATTAAGACTAATTGATTATTGCACATTATATTTTATCACTTTGACTGTCTAGTTCCCAAAACATAGGAAATCCAGGTAATAAAAAGAAAAGGTTTCACCTGGAAAAAAAAATCAGGATTTCAGACCATAAATCAGTTCGAGTTTTCAGGATACTGGGGGTAAAAATAAATGATGAGCTGCTTCGAAAGAATATTCCATTCAGCAACTTAATAAGTTTTAATGAAACACTTCAAGTTTAGATCTTATGTTATTATTATTTTAATGATGATTATTTTCACCATACTAGCCTCTGAGTTATGTGCACAAGAAAAAGCATGAGTCCACCCGCGTACAAAGCACTGGACCAGGTAACATGGTTCAATGAATACCAAAACAAATAATAAATAAATAATATGCTAGCTTTAAGAATAGGTTTTTACTTGAAATCTGTGCACGCGAGGACTCACTCCGACCTCCAGGCTGGAACAGGAAACTCCAACATAATCCTGTTGATTGACATTCAGTAACATGAGTCTTATCCCTTCTTTTTTTGTTCCTGTCAGTGTCTTAAACTCTAATTAGCAGTAGAGAGAACATCCAAATAAAACTGATCTTCTGCCTTGTAATCAACTATAAAAAATAACTACAACACTGGATTTCATGGCCCGGTGAATCATTTCACCAGCAACTCCAATGTTTCATAGTGTATTTATTTGTTGCTTGCTTATATCTCATTACAACACAAAATAGAATTAATGAAGTAGTCGGGGCACAGTGCAGTTGTACCCTTTTTTGATTCAATGGGAAAACAATTTCAGAATGTATGTATGCCCTTATGCATAGGTACTGTAACTAGGAAAAGGAAGGGACAAGGCAACATGGGTCGGTATGGGAGCTTCGGGTGCTCAGCTCAGTTGGGAGACAGAATGGCCAGTCAAATTAGCAGAGCGACAGTGGTGAGGTTGCCAAATGGGTCAGAGAAGTTCATTCTACCAGAAATCCCCTAAATTCTAATTTCATGTGATAAGCAAATGAAATTTTCCAAGAGAACAATTTACAGTTCGTGTTGAAAATTAGACTGAAATTGCGGTGTTTAAATATTATAGAGTTCTTTTGCCAAGTAAAATGCAGATGCCAAAATATAAATACCTTCAATTTTCTTAGATAAATATCAAGCTCACTACTGATGCCCTCTTTAACGCCACTACTTCCAGAAGAGAAAAGTTGTTCTTCCCCAGAATCTTCCCCAACCAAGGCTTGCTGCAGTACACAACAAGAAAGGTATTCAAGTAAAACCCAGAAAATAAAGCATCATATACAGTTGCTCTCCCAGTAAAGAAACCTCTGGCTATATTAACAGCATTAAAACTGAGAAAATATCACAGATGGTAACATCACCTACAGTGTAATGATCACTAAAACTACTAGAACTTCACCATCTCACACAGCTAGCGAAATTGGATAGCAAGGGCGGAAAATCGGATGAAGTAAAACATAAGTTCCAGAGTTCCAGCTATCAGAGCATAAATCAAAAACTTCAGTTACCATAACCTTTTGCATTTAGTCATTGAAATGATAAGCAAGATTTTCATTGTCTATGGAAGCAATGCGAACGCATGAAGGATTACATCCAGAAAATCGGGCAAAGGAAATGTTCGGGTCCAACTTCCAAGTTACATTTGGTAGAAGTGAAGCAAAAACATAGTTATTCTCGTCTTTCCAACAAACCACGGGATGAAAAAACACTTCTTTAGGGACTGCCATACAATTATCGATTCTATTGAAAACATATAGAAAACTAACAGAGAAGTCAAACCACACGCTTCCATACCTATTGAAATCAACTTAAAAAGAAATATGCAACCTACTTGTCCTCCTTTTCCTGCATTTAATGTTTCAAATAAAAGAACTGCATCTATCTTGCCAGTTTGTCCAAGACTTTAAGATTAAATCTCATAACTACATACCAGCAACTTCTTCTTATGCTGTTTGCGTTGAGGAAGTATGCCAAGAGCATCAACCATCGATTCATCCAGCTCTGTGAATACATAGACAAGTTAGTGCAAGGCATACACGTATCATCTAACGAGCAATTTCAGGTAACCTAATGACCTTTGGTCTGCAATAGAGTAGCCAGGACATTTAAAGAGCCTGAAACCTGAACATCATCTCCGCTGGTAATAAACGAAAGCAAAAATTCCCTGCATATTGTGGAAAAAAGAAGCCATCAAACTCTTAACAATAGTGAAAAAAGACTTGCACGTTGTCTGCTCGACACATAGGCTAAGAAACAAAAAGATTCTGTACACTCACACAGTTATGCATGCCTTTCCTGGCCCCACACACAAAGAGAGAGAGAGAGAGAGAGAGAGAAAGAGAGACAGAGATATGAAGAGGAAAAAGAGAAACACTATGACGACAATTATACGAAGAAGTCCACATGGCATGTGGAATAATACAACTTGAGTAAAGAAGCATCCAAGAAACCAAATTCGGGAAAGACTATGCAAACACAATCGAGTGGTTCGCAACAAAGTTCGACTCGAGCTGGAGTTAAACAGAGCTTGACTCGAGCTGCAGTTTCGCAGAGCTCAAATCGAGCTCAAGCACACCAAACCCGAGCTCGAGCCTATAGTTTTTAAGCTCGAAGGCTCGATGAGCCGCTCGAGTAAATATTTAATTTACTAGAAAAAAACCTAACTCGAGCAAAATTTAATTTCAAACATTTTACTGAAAATTCTAGCCGAACGTCAGCAGATTTTGAGCCTCTACAATTCGAGCCGGTTCTGAGTCAATCTCTTCTTTTGTCAACCCGTGCCAAGCCTTGCCTTAAAAAGCTTGGCTTGTCGGGCTCAAGCAGCAGAAAAACAGACCTAGCTCGATAAGGCCAAAGCTCGACTCGGCTCGGCTTACTTGTAGCCCTAGGAAAGACCCGAGTCACATGAACTGGGAAATTTATAATCCTCTAACAAAATTGAGATAAAAATATGAACAAGTGGAGGAAGGTGGGTAATCAGTTATTCTATTTTCATATGTAAATTCTAGAATTAAGACTTTAAGTATCTTTACATAAAGTCATGAGCATTTAAACTTGACAGCTGAAACTTGACCAGACACAGAAAGAAATGGATGTTCATGGCACTAAACAGTTGTAAAATTGCTCAACAATATCAATATACCTGGGAGCAAATTGTGTACCACCACAATCATGACCCAAGACAACACCTGGTGCATGGTTATGGGAAGAATTAGAAGTTGGTACAGTAACATGCAAACTTCCAGCAAGAGACTCTGAAATATGGTTATTCTCAGCTGTATTTTCGTCTGCTGCATCTAAATAACCATTGGACTTAGCTTCAAAATTCCCACATAACATCTCTGGACAACATAGAAGAGCAGCAGCAACAATGTTTGCCAGATCTTTGATTTTGACTATGCGCAAAATGCAACAAAGTAAATATAAAGAAGTGACAGCATCAAGACTTGGTTCCTGAATGTTAAAACCCAGATAGTTACAAAAACCATGTCCGTAAAACCATAATCAGTAATACCAATTACAAAAGGTTAATAAAACATTGAAGATACAAAGGAAAAAAACAGCACATGGGTATACCTTAACTACTTCATCCCCCAAGGAAGGAAGAATCAATGGAAATATCAAAAGCCTCAAAACATTGTCCATGATTAACCTCCCTATGTCAGGAATTCCAGCAGAAACGACATCACTAAAATAATAGAGATTGTCTTCTATCTCATCAACAGCAGAAAGAATGGAAGACGACTCCATGCTCAGATTTCTGTCCGACGATGATTATTCTTGTCAGGATAATATTAGTAAGAAAACTTCAATTCAAGGAAATACAAATATTTCACTTCTTACTTTGAAGCACTTGAAATCACCAAGTTCAAATGGATGCACTGATCTCGAAAAAAATTGACCAGATTCAAAAAATAATTCGCATGAGGAGCCCCTGATACAAACTTATTTACAGCATCATCTCCAACTGCAAAAAAGATATGAAATTCATACAGTAATGTGCATCATCCCGTCAAATGTGGAGCAGGAAATACACACACACACATACACATACACACACAAACACACACACACATATATATATATGTAAGGGGAAAAAAAAACTCACCATGGTAAACATTCAAGGTTAAAGCACGTACAGCAGTTCGAATCATACTTTCTTCATGGAAAGCAAACCGTATTGCCTCAACATAAAGAGGGAAAGAAACTACTTCATCCTAAATGGGAACAGAAGAAATATGATATAAAACTAAATTACTAAAATGAAAGGACACAATAATATTAACAAAAAGATTGAAATAAAAGCCTAAATAAACTTACATTTTCTGTCTTCACAAGGAGAGAAATTGTATCCTTGTTCAACTTCCCACTTATTGCCCTTTCCACCACAACGAGTAAATAACCCAAGTAAGACAACATTCCAAGAAATTATGCATAGCATATTATAAAATTATCTGAAATACAGAGCGAACCTTAGAAAAGATATGTAGTAAGATAATAGCTCTTCGTTTCGGAAGTCAAACGGATCAGTTATTAGGTCATTCAGATGTTCATTGCTAAACATATAATCTGCAAATATGTATAGAAAAACATCTCAGAAAAATTAAAACATGGTGGACAGATTCAAAAATGTTATGCTACTCAAAGTAGGATTTAACTTACATATGGAATGTTCACTTTTCAGGTTCTGAATCATTATGCTCATTGTCTGCAATAGCTGGAGTGAAACAATCAAAGTTCTACTAATTCTTAATATGCGTACGAATTCTCCCATGACCTGCTTCTCCATGAAGAACCTAGAACGAACCAAAATGATTGCAGTTACATAAGTTAAACAGGGATGTGTGCACTAGAACAATATATGAGCATATCAAACACTGAGTAATGGTGTCTCACTCGAAATAGGCAGTATCATGTTGGTCACCGTAAGTTATCAACTCCGAAATAGATCTCAAAGCCTCAATGACAAAATTCTGCAAAATATAAGAGGTGCAGTTGGGGCATCATAATTCAAAAGAAGCATAATCCACAACATGCTGCAACTTAGTCCAGTAGTGAGCTACCTTGTTAACCTCATTCACAATCTGAACTCTCATGAGTTGATCAACTAGGAATCTGGAAAGGAGAAAAGAAAGAATACATAGATCATAAAGGCTAAAATTTTCCAGAGCCAAAAAATATCATAACATTTAAGAATATACAGAGTAGCATGATAACATCAACAAGGATCAGAAACAATTGAAACAGATTAAAAAAAAACTATCCAATAATAAGATAATAAATTATGTATTATCAGACACTAATATGCACAACTTCATTTACTCAAAGGTATACAATGATGTCTCATATGGTAGACAAACAGTTAGAATTTAATACAATAAATAATATACAAAAATTATGCATTAGCAGACACAACTGATGTTTAACTTCAGAAACCCCAAATATTAAGTGAGACCCATCTGATACCTCTTAATGTAACATTGCATCGTATTCAAATTACTAGCTATATGCACCATTTGTACAATACTTAAGTATTTTGAGGTGGGAAAATATGAAGACAATAAGAATGAACTTTCCAGACTTCCCTATTAAAATGAAAGTGGAGGATGAGTTGATTATTCCTCCCATCCCCTAACCCAAGAATCATATATAAATGAGACCCGCAATGAAGCACAGTTATCCAGGCAATACTAGTATTGCCCATTTGATCTCTCTAGCACCCAACCATTTAAATCCAGTTAACTTAGGAAACTCGGCAACCACAATAACTTTCTTTTGATTAACTCCACGCTTCCAGTATAACAACTAAGTAGGAGCAACACCAATTCAAAGTTATAGAGCCAACCATGAGAAAGATAAATCCTTGGATATCACTGTTCTATGTCACTGATAACAAATCCCATCAGACATGATAACATAGAGCAAAATGAAAAGTATCAACATGTTAATCATCCATCAGACTGGGTTTTCATAATTACAAACTTATAAGACTATCCAAACCTCTACACCACACTTGTTCAAGAGCAACA